CTGTTTATGCTAGTAACTTAAACTCACGTATCGTGCACCGTGGGGTCATTTTTAACTAAATCGTGTTTTAATCATACTTACAATTAACTAATCTTTATACAATTTTACAAATATTTAAAGATGATTACTTGTGAGGCATTCCTGGAATTTTTTGTGGCTGGTGCTTGTCATTGATTATTAAATGATTTTTGAACACCCCTAGGGGTCAGATTGACCCCACGGTGCGGAATAAGGGTTAAAGCAAAAAACTGTGTATGTTTATCAAAGTAATCAATAACATGCGATACCTTGAACTACAAATATCAAAGTGAGCATTGCCTAGGAAAATGTTGGAAATCATGTATAAATGTGCTAATATTCCTGTATTATGAATTAGTTTTGTTAAATGTCTTTTTAATGGAATATCTGTTTAATTATGTTTTTCGATGCACTCATTATTAATATAGGATTTAGTACTAAATTTGTTTATTTATATATCAGTTAAAATCACATTAAATTAAAACCACTTATTATACAAGACAAAAATTAAAAGTCACATTGTTTTGAAAAGTTCAATGATTTAGAAATTAAATAAGAGTATTATAAAGTTTTTATGCATTTCTATATTAATAATGAAATATACATTTCAACGATATGTCAAGACAGTAGAGTATATCAAGGGTTGATTAAAATATATTTACAGCTAATTTACTAAATAGATATTCTTGTATTTTTCAATCTACAGGAATTATCGCCTCCTGTATTGTGGAGAAAATTGTAAATTCTTGTATAATACAGGAAAATCTTGTATGCTTGGCAACGCTAGTGAGACCCCTCCCCCGGCCGGGAGAAGAGAGTTTGACGCGAACCTGACAACATTTACTTTTATATGTATTAGCGGTATTTAATATTGTATGTAATTGTAAATATTAAATATGTTGTATTAACCTGTGATTCCTTTGAAAATTCTCACAAGTCAGTATTTTTTAAAATTCTTCAGCATAGCAACAATTTAAAGTTTTTATACGTATATAACCAGGGTATAATTTATTAATTTACTAAAATTATTTAATTTTAATATTTGTTATATTTACGTGTGTGTATGTTTACTCATTAATTATTAAAAAATATATTATAATAATTTAAGATAAAAATCAAGATTTTTTAATTTTTTCATGAATTCAAACTGAAGGAATACTTTTAGTCCCGAAAAATTTAGTCGAACTGTTTGTCCCTTTGTTTTAAATTTATATAAAGTATATAAACAAAATATTTTGAAACTAGTTTGTATATTATCTTACATTCTATACATTTGAGTTTAAATCACTTCAATATTATAAGAGTAATAAAGTATGAATTCAAAAACAAAATTTAATGCTTTATTGTTTACGCCGTTGAGATTACGTGACCTAACATTGAAAAACAGGGTATGTGTGAGTCCTATGGGTCAGTGTTCTGCATTGGATGGTATGCCTCAAGATTTCCACCTTGCTCATTATGGATCATTTGCATTGGGAGGCGTGGGAATGGTTATGGTTGAAGCCACTAACGTAGAAGAGAGGGGTCGGGCAACTCCTGGATGTACTGGACTGTGGAATGACACACAAACCGATGGCTGGAAACGTGTAACTCATTTAATTAAGACTTTGGGTTCGGTTGCAGCCATACAACTGGCACACGGAGGGCCTAAAGCCAGTTGTGTGCCCTTTTGGGAGGGCTACCAATCATTGGCCGATGACAGGGGCGGGTGGCCTACCATTGGTCCGACTGCCGTACCATTTGGTGGACCCGTTTGGAAAGTACCACAGGAGGCCTCACAACACGATATCAAACAAATAACCCTTTCGTGGATAGAGTCGGCCAAACGAGCCGTTTGTGCAGGTTTTCAGGTTGGTCATTTATTTTCAAAATAAAGTTTTTATTATATTCAATAAAAATATGATTTTCTTAACTTATTATTAAGGTCATAGAACTGCATTTTGCACATGGTTATTTAGTGAGTAGTTTTCTATCGCCCATAACTAATCATAGGTCAGACAATTATGGCGGTTGTCTCGAGAATCGGATGCGTTTTGGTTTGGAGATCGCGCGGGGAGTACGCGATGCTATACCCGATTGCATTGCATTAGGTGTGAGACTATCCGTCACTGACTATCACAAAGACGGCTGGGATTTGAAGCAAAGCATTGAATTTGCGAAACAATTAAAACAAATTGGAATCGATTTCTTGGATTGCAGTTCAGGAGGTGTTGTGCTGAACGCAGCCGAACACCCACTCAACACAAATCGGGCACAATTAGAGGCCTCAGCAATCATACAGCAAACTGTGGGTTTGGCCACAGCAGCAGTCGGTCAGATCGTAGATCCTCTTGTGGCAGAAGATATATTGCAGAGTAATGGAGCCTCACTTATAATGATAGGTCGGGCACTTTTAAACAATCCTCACTGGGCTTATGAAGCGGCCGATGCTTTAAACGCTAATTATAATTCATTTAAATATCACAAACAATACGAGTGGTGTATTGGATGGACAGGTATATCAAACTGGAGAACAAGTATTTACCAGAAAAGCGATTCCAAACTCAGTGAAAGTTTGATTAAATCTTCTCAAGAAATCTATAGCCATTTGTTGAGCAGTGATTTCGTACAAAAGTACCTAATGTTTGGTGAGATGTCTGAGAAAAACAAGTTAATTGCACAGAAAAGTCAAAAGCAGACCATAGACTTAATGCCGGCGTTTCAACAACTATTTCAAACAGCCCTACAATTAACTGATTCTGAAGGAGAAAAGCAGTTCTTCGCGATGTCTATCCAGGCCTGGGATTATGGATTCAAACAATATTCACACAACTTTGAAACAACTTTTGGTAAAATCAATGAAAATTTGTTGAATGAACCGATTTGTGAATTAAATGGACATTTTATTGACCATTTACTACACGTATCAAAGAGTGAATCAGTACTTAAAATACTGACTGCATTGTTAGCGGGTTGTGTTAAATTGGTATCAATGCACGAATTTCTACAAAACCAACAACAATATAAATCCAACCCTTTTGCAGAATTTCTACTCTTTAGAGCACTTTCTCCTGAAATTGGTTTAAATTTTATGAAGGATTTAATTGACGCCAGAAGTGGTCAGTTATCTCGAGAAGAAAAGCTCCAACTCATTGATGTGATGAGAGAAACAGCTACTCATGAAATCAATTTCCACATGAATTTATATTCTGATTAATTTTATATTAAATAAAAAAATTGAGAATTATAATTGAAATTAATATTTGTTAATTAATTCATTGCTTGAAAACATATAATAAAGCAAAAATGGGGCTCGTCCGGGATTTGAACCCGGGACCTCTCGCACCCGAAGCGAGAATCATACCCCTAGACCAACGAGCCATGTGCTATATAGCAATATTTTAGTACTATAGATTAGATTATAAATATCTTATGTAGACTCTTTAGATATTTAATTTAAAATTGTTGATTGAATTTGAATTGCTTGGATAGTATTGAAAATGAAACTATAGTGTTTTTAGTTAACGTTTACATTAGACACGGTATGTATGGTATGTATAGTCGGCAAATGTTGTACAACAAACTGACAAAATAGTCAAATATAATACGTTTGATTAAAAAAATTTAATTAAATGTACTCAACACTACAATTAGTAATTTAGTTACGGCGGCTAACGTAGAATTAATATCTATTTTATCTCAATTATTTACGAGTTAGCACATGTTATCTCATATAATATAAATACAGTTCAGTATTAATAGTTTTTATATACAGTACATACAGTTTGATTAAGTATCTTTAATTTTAATATATTTTATATTTAAACAGTTTATAATAATGGAGAGCATTCTAAATATATTATATTATTTAATAGTGTTTGGTTTAATTGGTTTTGCTTCTTATTATTGGATTGTTATTAGAAATAAATATAAAAAATATGATTTCAATCCCAATTCCGACCAAATGTCGTCAAATGAGACCATTTTAACCAAACATCAAATAAAACCCGGTTTTATCACTGCATTGAACTCAGGGGTAAATATTGTAATAAACAAGTATTTAATACAAAGCATAATTGGATTGTTTAAAAAAATAAGGGCCGAAATATAGTGGTATTCTATGGATCACAAACGGGAACCGCTGAAGATTTTGCAACTCGTTTAGCCCGAGAAGCGCCGCGTTATGGCATGAAAGCAATGGCTGCCGATCCCGACCGATGCGATATGAATGATCTGTCACTTCTGCCTCTCATACCCAACTCATTGGCTATATTTTGTGTGTCCACGTATTGGGAGGGCGACCCCACCGACAATGCTATGGCTTTCTATAACTGGCTATTAAAAGGCGACACTCGTCTCAATGGCGTTCGTTATGCTGTCTTTGGTTTAGGAAACAGTTCTTACGAATACTTCAACAAAATGGGCAAATATGTAGACACGAGACTCGAAGAATTGGGTGCAACGCGTATACATCCACTCGGATTAGGAGATACGGCTCAACACATCGACAACTATTTTATCAATTGGAAGAAAAACTTATGGCAATCGGTTAGCAAACATTTGAATGTAAAACAACAACAAAAGGATGTCATTACCAGACAATACAGACTTATCCCACATCACAAAAATAGTTGTCCACATGTTTTCACTGGAGAGCCACACACTCTCTATTCATTACGCCATCAAAAGCCTCCTTATAATACAAGAAATCCATTTTTGGCTTCAGTTTTAGTAAATCGTGAGTTATATAAAGGGTTTCGTTCGTGTCTTCACATTGAATTAGACATTTCAAATTCAAACATCAGG